AATAAAACTTACATCTTCAAGGAAAAAATCGTACATTTTGCGTTAAAAAAGGAAATTTCTTTGCACAATGTGCATTCTACTCAAAATGGCTAACGTGATGGGTGCCAGTTTGATTCTGAGGTTCTAATTGTACAATTTGCTAGCTAGAAGTGCTGAATTTCGACAGTTTCCGCGTCAAGAAACAAAACCAATATTTCCTACCCGTTCGCGTGCCGTATAGCCACGAAAAACTACAGACATTTCAAGAGCAACTCTCCTTCCAAGAACACACTTCAAGAAACTTGAAAATCTGAGAGCTTCGTTTTCAAAACGAACCATAATCGCTCTTAACGTGCTCGCTCGATCTCTCCCTACACTATCAGTAAACTCGCCTTACCGTAACGGCGATTTCTCCTGGTTTTCCCCACAAAGATCATCCCAGATTCGAGAAGCGAAGACAACTCAAACACAAAAAGCGCCCGAACCAAAACGCCTGAACGGCGAAGAATAGCTGACTGACACAAAAGCAACCGCATCTCAAATAACCGAAAAAGGGCTATTTTGTCGAGCAACACAAAATGCTTATTATGTTGTTTGATAGCGAATGACGTGCCTTGATGTGAAGCATTGTGTGGAGTGTTTACAGGCGCACAATAATACTTTAACCTGCTTTGCAACGAGTTGAATGGACTGAACAGAAAGTGCACCACAAACATGCCTCAGGGAAACAAAAGCGCGCGACCTAATTGAAGCTTTCCAATATAGAGTTCCCTTTGTTAGAAATAATGTTCGGCGCTTTTGAAAGACAACTGAACAAAGGCGAGCATGAATGGAGAAAAAAGCTTCGTGAAATTGTTATTGCATATTTGCTAATGGACTGGCATTGAAGACTTCTAAGATTTTGATTTTCCCTCGGGCAATCTTCAAGCTTTGTTTTGTACAAAGTTTGCACAATTTGTACTAATTTTTAAAACAAAATTGTACAAATTTCCATAGTTTTTAACCTTGCTTATAACGTGCTAGATGTTTCATTCTGACAAGATACTTCCGCGCAGAGCCAATTTCGATTCAACCGAGCCATCTAATCGCGGAAACATACGGAAAACTCAAAGCCGAGAAAGCTTTTAAATCATTTACGATTCACCCAAAGGAAAAAAAATGACCCATCAAATGCTGCTACATCTGTGTTTGTTTTAGTTTGTCACAAGATCTCTACTGAATGGTTGTAAAGCACGTCATATAAGTGGCCAACTATCAAAGCACTAAAAAGTGTACACAGACAGAAAATAGTCTAAGTGAAAACAAATTTAAGATACCAAAGAGCAATTTTTATCGATAAAAATCTTAAAGAAACCCATTTTAAGTGTGTGTCATAGACTTGAAACTCAAGAATGTCTACCATGTAAGATATTTTTTAAGTTTCATTAACTCGCTCACGCAATTTTTTACCTCAAACGAACGAAACTATCTGACATTTGAAGACACCACAAAAAACCCTGGCATACGATATCGAATATTGCATTTTACCAAAATACACTGACGCAAACTCATCACTATTAAAATTAAAACAGTATCAAATATTGTGTATCGTGAATTTAACTTTCAAGTGTATTGCTGCAACACTTAAACAATAATTTGCCTTAATGTGCAGCTTTTTAATGTGTCGCCGATATTCTATACCATCGAGTTAAAAAGTTTCAAGTGCGTAAAACATGGACCTTCGCGAAATGATAAACCAATCATAAAATTTGTGCTCTTGGGTTTAAGGGTAGTCACGACATTTTTCATAACGCGGATGAAAAAGAATATCACATTATTCTTAGCTTTAAGGCAAAGACTAAAAGGCAAGTGTTGGGTTACGAAGATACAGATTGATGCGCTTAAGGGTAATACGCTTCTACACAATACGTTTCCTTGACAACGGCGTATTCCACACTTTCAACGTTCTGGGGCATGGATCATGCGAAGGAAAAAAACAAATTACAGAATTACAAATCGAGTCGAGATTCTCCAATTCTCACGGATGGAAAGTCTTAGACACTTCTCTTGACACTTTCGAACTTTACTAGAACTCTGATCAGAATTGAAGAATTCCACAACAAGAAACACGAGATATATCGATTCGAGTTGCAAAATTCCGCCAAAAAAAATCCTCGTAGTATTAATCGCAGACGACAGTCATACGGGTTTGAACTATCTTAAAAGTACTACGCAACAGTGATATCGCATTTTATTCACCTAATATCTGAAAAACGGGGAAACACGTCATATATTGAGTTCTTGACGAATCTGACGCAAAAAGACAACTATCAAAATGATACTCGACAGTAATACCGTATTTTATTAACCTAATATCAGAAAAAAAAGGAGAAACAAGTCTAACATTGCGTTCTTGACGAAATCTGACGCAAAAAGAACGACAATCAAAACAGTGATACAGCAGTTTCTCGCACGATCCATACGGTCCCGCGCGTAATCCCACGCGTTACCCACGCACGTTATGTTTTGGAGGCAACCAATTCGGTCACACGCCAATGAAATTAATATTACAAAGACAATTCACAAAATGTTCTAATAATTTCAAGCTGAGGAGAAATCCATGCGATAACACCCGTATTAACTAGCAAGGACTGATACATTTTGGGCCCACTTGTCCCATGAACTGGGAGAAATATCTGAACGAATATTTTATTTTTTCAAGAAACTACCAAGACAAAAAACTCATTGAATTACACGTTAAAATATTTGATAACAATTAACATCCATCATTGTTTTGACGTTTTAGTTGCTAAGCCAGAAACAAAACAATAGCAATACTAAATAGCGGAGCTATTTTAAGTTTTATGAATACACGCTCTCTGATCATTCGAGCTGTCGACCGCTTGTTTCGCAATATTTTTCAAAATGAAATGATCTTTTTTTTGCAATCTTGCACACTGGGGGGTTAAAAAATTACCGTATATAACCATAATGATATATCCAGAAATTATACATGACATCTGCTTAGGCAATAGGTAAAAGTGAACTGAAAAGGTTGTAAAGTGCCATTTAATCACTTAATATCAGTTCAAAACCCGAACATTTCCGCAACAATTCTGATTAATTGGCGACGAGCGGGAAGAAAACGAAGGAAGTTCGTCATGTAGGCAATAGCTCGTAAAATATCGTAAAGTATTTAACGTGTCCATAGCTCTGTTCTGAATCCAGTGATTAGTATCATACCATTAAATTATATCCTTGTCAAACGTGTGTGGCCAAAGTAAAATTAAAGTATGGAAGTAGTTAAAGTCTATGTGTGCGGAAATGTCCAATGGAAACTGTCAATACAAATCTCAAAGTAGCAAATTTATTTTCGCTCACAAAAAGCCACCTGCGATAAAAATAACGTCGATGACATTGTATCATAAAAATGCGTGTCGATATTTGCGGTTGTTTTCCTAACTTGCAGCACGTGCGTGCGTTAAATATTTCTTAGTCTACGAGCCCACGCATATTAAGTCATGTAAGCTCATTTTGGACTAAAGCAACAACATGAAAATGTGAACCCGTCTCTGGATAATTCGCCTATTACCCGATTTGTCTCAAGAGCGGTTACTGACGCACGAGGCTATAAATGCACCATTTAGTAAATATCGAAGACGGTTAACATTTTTTTTTTCGCGCTGCACGTGCGAAAAACCAGGCTCTTTTAACTATGCTCGCACGCAATCACGCGAAATAAACGCACTCGACGCAATATCTTTCAAGTCTTACCCGCCTCTTTATTTAAGATGTAGGGGCCATTATTTAAGGACAGTCCAAGCGGAGATAATTTAGTGAGCCTATAAAAGACTTTTCACGGTTCCAGTGAAAAGAAGTATTGTCTAAAACGCACAAAGAGTTTGACCTTTTAACGTCTAAAACCTTTTACAAGCTGTCGCCAGGAAACTTTGCATACACGCTACTGTGTGCCTATGATTCTATCACAAAACACGTCAATAAACAGTCAATGAGGATAGATTGCACGCGAACAAAGACGGCAACGGGCCGGAACAAAGACAAACAGAAAACAGTTTAAACTCTTGAAAGCATTTAAAAAATCCTGTGTTATTGTCTTGCCAGAGAACAATAACGCAAATAAAATGCGAGATTTAAATGCTCTTGAAAAACCTTCGCTGCCATAATAGAGTCGCAGTTAAGTGAAAATGATCCGAACATTTTGTCTTTTTTTTTTTTTCATTTTATCTATACACAAAAACAATTCCTGCTAATAATAATTTCAACTGTTGTTAGCACAAGCAGTGTTTAAAAGAGAGCGTTTTTTTCTACGCACGGTCTGTCCTAAGTAAATTTAGCGAACAAAAATATGCCAAACGGCGAGCTGGCAAGAAAGTCGCACAAGTTTCATCACGAACGTACTCAACTCGCATTAATTTAGAAATCGGCGACGCAAACTGTTGTCTAAGATGCATAAAGGGGCAGCTTTTGCCGACCCGATAGAAACATGCACTGGCTTCGAATGAAGTACACAAACGCAAGTTGCTCTTCTGACAAGGACAAAGAATGAAAATTCGCATTGTTATCACAAGATAGCAGTTTCCTGCTGGTTCTTGTAAGCCAATCAAAGTAAGTTACGACCGCAAAAAACGCATTAACCAATCAGAACCGGAGGCAAAATGCGCGGGAAAACATAATCAGAGGCGAACGCGGGAAAACATGAAACACGGATGGCAAGCGCGCGTAAACATGTAACCAGTGGGAACCGCAAGATTAGCGTAACAGGGAGCAAACACGTAAAATGCGCACTTGTCGTCAGGTATTGAAAAATGTGTATCTGTTTACGAACGCGGAAAAGCAAACTGGCGGTTAGTGTGAGAAAAATGTAACCCATGGTAACTACGCGAAAACCTTTAAAAAGTAAAGGAGGCAAGGAGTGTCGCCGTTTCGAGCAAATCGCTGCTGAGGTACCCAGGGACTTTCAATCGCTTTTCATCCATAGTCAGTCTATATACAGTAAAATAAAAATCAATGATTTAACTAACCGGTTCTCGTTTGTGTTGCAGTTCCAACAATTCTTCCAAATTTAAATGAACGTCGCAATTTGCACCAGTGTCACCTGAAAAAAACAAAAAAACAAAACAAAACAAAAAAAGAAATGTTACCTTCGTGAATTTTTATTCCCGAGTCCGTATTTTTACGTGATTCAACACAGACCTACACGGCATCAAGGGTTCAGCTGCGATGCAATGTTGAGACGTACAACAAAAGGCAATATATTAAACGAGCTGGAAAACTGGAGAACTACCTCTAAACTGATGGTGATTTGTAGTACTGGAAATAATACAAGAATCAATAAGCATTTACCTGTACTGCGAAGACACACTTGGTAGACACCAGGCTGTGAAGAGGCTATTGTAACTGTTAATTCAGATTTTCTGTTGAAGATGAAAACTAGAATAAACGGTTTGCTCTGATAAAACGCTTTTCAGTTTACTAGTGAGTAAAATTTTGTGCTTGGTATACTTTAGTCGACCGGGCTGTCTTGATGGTCCAAAAAAGCGTAAATCATTCTCTTATTAATCAGCCATGTTCTAAACGAGCAAGGGACTGGGTGCGAATATGACACCTGTCCCTCCAAACCATACAAAGTTCTCTTAAATCACAGCTTTTCAAAAGTGTACTATATCTTTGGGTTTGAACCAAAAACACTGACATTTGAAAAAATTAACTAACTTTTAGAAGCTCTTTAGTTACCAGGCTCGGTTTTTCAAATTAATCGGTTTTAAATATTCGTGGCTAATTGGAGCACTCGCACGTTTCCCGAATCTCTTCGTCCTCAGTCGGATAATACGAAAATCTCTCCGAAGATAACTCGTGTTACTTAGCAACACCTCTGAACAACACAACAGTCGCGACCTCAGATGGTTCTTTGCTTACCTTTTATCAGGAAATCTATGCCCTTCGACCATCACTCCTTCCTTTTCGAGCTGACTGTAACTGAAGTTGACAGGGGTGGTGTGCGTTGTTTCTGTGGCAGAGACATACTTTACATCTCTCTGGAATGAATGGCAAACAAACCACGGTTCAAAATCATTCCAACAGAAAACGTTTATTTATACAGCATAAAGTTCTACCTTTTAAAGTTTGTGAAAGTCACTTTATTGCGTAGCCGTTGTTCAAGGTGGTTCTAACTTTCAAATCTGTGGATGAGACCCTAGCGTGTGACAATTCAAACAAAAGCTATCGAGCAGTACTTCCATGTGGTACTCTTTGCTCTGCTGTAAAGGGTAGTTCTAACTTTCAAATCTCTGGATGAAACCCAAGGACTTGGCCATTCAAATAAACGCTGTCGAGCAGTACTTTCATGTAGAACAGTCTACTGCGCTCTACAAGGCAGATTGGGTAACTTTAAAATCTGTGGATAAAACCCTGGTATGTGACCACTCAAGTGAAAGCTATCGAGTAGTACTTTCACGTGGCTCTGTTCGTCTTTCAAGTTTTCCTCACTTGAAAGCTCAGTTAATTTTCGATAATGCTACAAAAGAAACTCTCATGAATTGCTAAATCACCTTTGATGAACCCATGACTGCTTTTGCTCTCACTGCAACCAAATATTCTGTAACAAGAAAGAAACCTTGATTTTAGTTCTTCTTGATTAAATTTTCATGTCTTAAGTGATAAAGCAACCTATTACTGATAAAAGCGTACCTTTGTAGACGCTTAGTTGATCCTTCAGATACGCCTCTTGCTTGAGTAAAGTCTAAAAAACAATTCAGTTTTACATTAAAAGTAGTTTTTCTCAATGACTGTCGTAAAACCACTGCCTTGACACGCCCTTGAACTATTTTACAGTTACGGAGTCGAGGGAAACATCGAGATTCTCGGGAACAACACTAACTTTTTCCTTCGAGACCAGTAATTAAGGGTATTAAGCCTTGCCTAAACGGACTCGCAAGTAGAAAACTTGGGTCTACTTGCGAGTCCCTCTGGCCACCCAACCCAAGTCAACGCAAGTTGAGTGACGTCCAAGTTGAGTGCATAATGGTTACAATTTAGCCCGTAGCCTTGAAAAGGCTTTTTTGAAATGGCTTTTTTTTTGGCGAGGAAACTTGCGAGTCCGTTTGGCCAGGGCTTAATATCCAATGGTTTCTACCCGAACCAATCAAAACTCTTACAATACAATAGCCAAATATAAACGTTGTTTTTGGAATGGTCGATATTTTGTGACAACGACTTGAGCCGGGGCTTCAGCTTGTTACTTTAACGTTGTCCAACCAGACTTAGTCCAAAAACGAAACTTTATGACTACAACATTTAGTGTCGTTCACCCACTAACCTCATAAACATTTCTAAGACTGTTGACTTTGGGCTTCAGTTGGAAATATTTCAGCACTTTATGCTGAACTTCCTGTGAAAAACAACAAAACACGAGTTGAAACCTCAAGTACGTATTTTGTTGTCTCATGGTCAACGCGTAGATAAAGCAAGTGCATCACTGACATCTTGAAAACTGTAGCCCAAATTTTCGAGTTGGTCGGTCATTTCGACTCCATATCAGTCTCGTCCAATCTTTATCACCTTTGCTTATTTCCGCTTTCTTATTTCTTTGATGCTCTTCTACCTTTGGTTGACGAATTGTTATTTTCACGTTTCCCTCTATTTGAATGTACTCTTGTACATTAAAAAACGATTTTTTTTTTATCATAAGATACATGTCGCCATCGGTTACAAAAAGCAGCAAAGCTACTCAAAGCGAAACCTCGAGGGCAAATCTACGCGGCAATGACTCAAATACGCATGCACAAGACGATCACCCGCTGGACGATGATTATTGTTAATCTCGTTTAAAGAAGGTACCTATACCTGTTTCACTTCCTGTAAGAAATCAGGATCTTTTATAAGCTTATCGCTTTCTTCTCGATTGTGTTTGTACGTGTGTAAAATACAATCGGCAAGTTTGGATGCTTTTTCTCTTCTGTGTATTGCTTCGCTTGTTTCGTCTTCAGCGGGAGCAGCTTTAGACTTTGCTATTTTGAGAACACCAACGAGGGATCTTTCCTCCATAAATTTGACATCCTGGGAGAAATCCAGTGAACTGCATAATTAGTGTCTACTTCATCTTTTTAAACCGCAGAAAGCAAACCGCCCCTACCCTCCCCCCTAAAAATATTTAAATCAAATAGTGTTGTTGACTTAATATGGAGGTACATCTCCGACAAAATTCAATTCTCAGTAATTGAAATAAAATCATCGCAATCATGAAAACATCAATCCAAAGCTGAATGGCAACAAGCTGATTCTGCAAATAGTCATAGCGCAAAGAGGAATAACGCAAGTAGGCATAACGCAGAGGCATAACTAATTAAGCATAACGCAAGTACGCGTAACGCAACTAAGCATAACGCAAGTAGGCATAACGTAAGGAGGCACAGCGCAAGTAGGCATAACGCACAGAGGCATAACACAATTCAATACTCAGTAATTCAAAATTGGAAATTGAAAGAACGGTGTCAACTTACCAAAGACAAGAGTTTGACATATAGAGCTTTTAGTTGTTCTTTTGTAGATTTCTCTTCTGCTGGTAATCTCTGGGCCATTAACATTTCAATAGATTCACTCCTCAATACTGTGAAAGGCAAAAACATAACTTTACAAATCATCACGCGTAATCTTTACTCATAATCACTCTGCAACTTCGGATCACACGACTTAGCTAAAATAATCCACTGTCCTCATTAAAGAAAGATAATGTCCACTGACAAATATCCATGCATAACCTTACAGCCATCTTACAGCGATCTGGCTCCTCCCCAGTCCTCACAAGTCCTGCATGCACGCACAGCCAGAACAACACACACGGCCAGACCAACACACACAAGCAGACCAACACACACAGGCAGACCAACACACACAGGCAGACCAACACACACAGGCAGACCAACACACACAGGCAGACCAACACACACAGCCAGACCAACAGACAAAGCCAGGCCAACATACACAGGCAGACAAACACACACAGGCAGACCAACACACACAGCCAGACCAACATACACAGGCAGACAAACACACACAGGCAGACAAACATACACAGGCAGACAAACACACAAAGGCAGACCAACACACACAGGCAGTGGCACAGCCTACCTTTACTATGATCCCATCTGTTAGTGAGGCTCAAACAAATTGTAGCGTTCATACTGTAACTCAACTGTTTTCCAGGGGGTCCTAACTCATCCAAAATTATATGCAGAGGATCATCCTCAGTAAGAGCCTGCAATGTAGGAATATGGTGTGAGCGACATGCATATTCATGTAAATTGCCTTTGGAATAAAAAAGATAAGACAACAAGCTGGAAAAGAAATATACCTGGGCAGAAGGGGTACTCCCCACAATGATATGGGGAGGGGAGGGGGGGGNTGAAATTATTCTCAGTATTAATTAGTTTATTATTTTTTGCCTTTTTTGTAAATTGATCAGTCATGCTACAATGTAGTTAGAATTTTCTGTAAGGGGGAGGGGAGGGGAGGGGGGGGGGGGCGTGGGGCTCCACCTAAAAAAGGGGTACATTTTTCAGGCTTCACATAAAAGGGGTACATTTTTCAGGTTCACATAAATAAAAGGGTAGGAATTTCATAAGTTGTGGTCTATGAAAGGGAAGGGAAATCTCTCATCTTGACTACCGCCTCAATGTGAACTGAGTAAACAATACTATTTTTTTTGGTTAGCATCTCCTCTGGTAATGCTTGATGTTCTCCTGTGATATTGTTTATACTTTGCTCCAAGGGTTTACAAAAGGGATGCAGCATTCTTAAGGAGGTATGTGAAAGGGCTACCTTTTTTTGATAAAAGTTATACAAAAGGTTAAGGGGTTGGACCTCGGGGAGAAGCCCTCCGTCTAAAACTTTGTACAGTGCCCCGCCCCCCTCCCCCCACCTCAGGGAAAAAATATAGTGTTATGTGTATGCCACATTGGCAGAACACTGTAGATACCAGATTTACATACATGTTATGTACATTAAAGAATGAGTATTATGATTATTAAACCTT